TCACTTGGTAGCCCCGGCTGGCCTCGAACTCACAGAGATCCACCTGGCTCTGCCTCCCGAGTGCTGGGATTAAAGGCGTGCGCCACCACCGCCCGGCCGCTTCCTGTTTCTTAAACATGGGTGTTTCCTGGGGTGCTGTCCTTTGCCAGGTCCCCTCCTAAGGTATTTCTCAAGAGATCTGCACTGCTCCCATGTTAATTATTACCTCTTGCGATAATTAAGCATGGCTTTAATCCTAGGTTCTGATACTGGATTTTTCTGTAAGTCCAATGAACATATCTACTTGCTATATTAATTTGGTAGGGCTGCTATGGCAAAGTCCCACCTACTAGGTGGTTTAAACAACAAAAAGGTATGAGCTCATAGTTCTGAACCTTAGAATTCAGAGACCTGTGTTCCCTCTGGAAGCTGCTAACGGGGCTAGTCCTTGGCTAGCCTTGGCTTAGAGATGGCCATTTTTGTGTTCATATTTCATTTATTCTGTATGTTTATCTATGCCTGGATTTCCCCCTTCTACAAAAATACCAGTCATATTAGATTAGGATCCATCCTAATGACTTTATTTATGTACTTATTGGAGCGGGGTGTGTATGTACCACAGCACAGAAGATAATTTACAGGAACTGGTTTTCTTCTTCCATCATGTGGGTCCTGGGGCTTGAACTCAGATCATTCGGCTGGGCAGCAACCGACTTTTCTTGCTGCATCATCTCACAGGCCTGTGACTTCATCTTTAGCTTGATTATGTCTATAAAGACGCTCTGTTCCAATGGGTCACATTCTTCAGTACTGGGGACTAGGATCTAACCTAGCAATTTTAAGGGGTCACAATTCAATATACAACACTTAGTTATTCACTCTTACCACAGATATTTTCTACTGCACTCTAGGCAGCAGTCTAGGCACTGGGCATGCGAAGATTCCAAGGCATGGGCTCTTCCTTCTTGATGCATGGAACAGATAGGAATCAATAGATAAGAATTTGCAACAGTATGCAGCATGGGCTGTCTTTCGAGGGTTACTATTACAAGGACACTGTCCCTGAGTGGCTAGCCCAGGGATGCACTGCAGAGGAAGAGCCTCCATGCTGTATCTTTCCCAATAGGATGCCACCCTGCAGAATTGTTTTGTCCTGCTTCTAAATCACACCCTCAGTTTCCCAACTCTGGATCCCACCACCCAGTTAATCTTTCCCAATCTCCCACTGATGGACAGTTTCCCAACTTGAAAAACCTGTAATGACTCCTCATTGTCAACAGAACTAAGGATAATGAAATTCTTCAGCCTGGCTGCCTTTGCTTCCTCCACGGTCAAGTTAGTACCACTGGAGTGTACCTCTCCTGTCTTGATCTCTATGTCTCTGCTCCTTAACCTTGTGCATTACCAGGGTATTAACAGCTAGTCTACAAACATACTTAGGCTTTTCTATAATATTGTGTGGTCAGAATTTTGGTTGGTTTTCTACTATATCATTAGCACTATAATCGTGCTTGGCATAAAATAGATAGGTGAAAATATTGGTTGAGTTGATTTCCCCACTCCTTGGAGTTCTGTCTGCTTGCAGAGTCCTCCTCCTCCTCCTTTCTCTCTCTCTCTCTCTCTCTCTCTCTCTCTCTCTCTCTCTCTCTCTCTCTCTCTCTCTCCTTGGGTGTGAACATTTTTTTCCCCAGTGAATTCTTACTCTCAAGGGTCAGATTGCATATCCTCTCCTCTAACATGCCTTCCTTCTGGGTCAGGTGTGACACTCCCACAAGGCTTTTCATGATCTATACGAACTTTGCATTATAGAAATCTAAGTAGATTTCTTCCTCAGGCAGATTGAAAGTTGCTTAAATGTAGGAACCATATTTTAAAAATAAGATCACGTTCAGCCTGGCGTGGGTATTCCTTCTTACCTTGCCTCCCCCCCCACCCCCCACCCCCCACCCCCGAGGTTACAGGATTTAAAAGTTCATCTAGTAGACATTTGCTGAGCACCTGGTTAATTCAAGATGCAGCACTAGCATTAGATTGTGAATAAGATTTAAATTCTCTTTGCAGTAATTAGTAATTATCACATCTTCTGATAAGCCCGTCCAATTGGTCCCAAGGGGCACAGGTTTTAGGATACTTTTCAGCTCTCAAACTTCACTCATCTCACACCTAGAAAATCATTTCGCGTTGATGCTACTTGTAGAAAAGGGACTTTGGCCGGGCAGTGATAGCACGCCTTTAATCCCAGCACTCGGGAGGCAGAGGCAGGCGGATCTCTGCAAGTTTGAGGCCAGCCTGGTCTACAGAGCTAGTCCAGGACAGTCTCCAAAGCTACAGAGAAACCCTGTCTCGAAAAACAAAACAAAAAAAGAAAAAAAAAGAAAAGGGACTTTGTCTGCATCTGGTCACTCTGTAGTGCCCAGCACTGAGCTAACACCTACTGGTGATTTGAGCAGGTCCCAAATTTCCTCCTCTCTCTCCAGTTGTAGAAAACTAAGTTGGGACCAGAGATGAAAGCTTCTATTTTCCTACTTATATGGGACAGCTTTCTGTTATCATGAGTGCCCAGAAACAGTCAACAGCACGATATTTAGTGCCATGCTGAAGTGTTCACAGAAATTCCATTTCCTAGTGGAGCCCTTTGTGAATACCCTGGCATCTAGGTCTCCTTCATATTTAACAAGTTGTCACCTTAGGACAACTTGTCACACTAAGGCTAAGTGAACATTGAAGCCAAAGTGTCTGCCTCATTTCTCAGACTCAGGTCATGATCTTGAGCCAGACAGAACTGTGATCTGAATTAGTCTGGTGAGTTCTGTATATCTGTTATCACTCGTAGAGACCAAATTCCTAGTAAATTCTTCAAATAAGGAAGAAGGAAGGAGTAAAAATTGGGGTGAAAGAATAGAAGAAGGAATGGAAAACATATTTGTTTTGAATCCTGATTGGTTTTGAAGGGCAGACCTGAGATGTTCATACCACATTAGTAGATATTCCAGGTCATCGCTTCTGGGGGCAGGAAACACCCATCGTATTCATGTAGGCTAGATTCCAGGTGGAACGACTTTGGCCCAGGGCACTCATCTAATGACAGTTACAAGTGGTGTACCACCCTGTGTTTATAGATTTATAGTGTGGCATCTGCTCCAAAGAGACCATGGCACAGATAATTATAAACAGAAGAGACATAAAACTCACTGGCAAGTCTTATATGGTGCTACAGAGTTGCGTTAACTTATTTGCATATTTTACTTACTAACTTATTTATCATGCTTTGTTTAAACCAAAATCAAAATCCTTTTGTCGGGAACATACTCCAGGCAAGCAGGGTAGCAAACACTTGGGTGGGCTCTGGCTTTGGAGCCTTGGTTCATATCTGAACATGCCCTGCCAGGGCAATCCTCCAAGCTACAGCTATGTACTACGTTGTTTCTCTTAAGCGAACCTCTCCTCTATCCTTGTGGGCTGACGATTCTTCGCTATTTCAGGACCCTACGTCTTTCCTGAGACTGTGTGTACACACGTGTGTGTGCGTACGTGCGTGTTGGTGTGTGTGTGTGTGTGTGTGTGTGTGTGTGTGAGAGAGAGAGAGAGAGAGAGAGAGAGAGAGAGAGAGAGAGAGAGAGAGAGAGAGAAAATAGAGAGATAGAGTCCCCCTAAGCATCACAGTCTAGCCTCGAACTTGTATCCTTGTGTGTTAGCCTCCCAAGTGCTAGGATTCCAGGCATGCATCACTATACCTGGTCCGGTCCTTAGCTAGAAGCTAACCTGTGAGACTTTTATGAAAAGGGTCATTTGAGAGTCTTCTGTGCAGGTTTTTAAAACCCTAAAAAGAAATCCAGTTGGGTGTGGTTCTCATTTACAATCCCAGCAGGAGGGAGCTTGAGTGAGGCAGGAGGAGCATGGACTCTGAGTCAGCTACACAGGGAGACCCTGAAAAAGAAAGAAGGGAAAGGGGAGGGGAGGAGAGAGAGGGAGGGAGGGAGGGAGGGAGGGAGGGAAAACCCATCTTTCTGTTCTCAAGAAAGGTTTGTAGAAATGGTTACCACTGTCTTTTCCATTAAAAGCAACAAATCAGATCTTTTCTAGCTCACAAGAACTGCCCCCTGTGTTTAGATGTCTTGTTCTGTGAGAGATCATATCCCCTCATCTGCTATTTACAGTTGGTTGCTCTGTTACTTATAGCAAATAATCTTCCTGGACTCAATGGCATTTTCATTTGACAAACAAAAAGTTACGTGTTTAATTTCTTCTTTGGTATTTGACTCTGTTGTGTTTTTGTTTGTTTGCCTGAATGGCAACACGCAAGGACCTAGTTTTCTATAATGCACTCAGAACTGAGATGTAGTCATGATTTTTCTCGCACAAATGCTCGAGGCCCTCACATTTTACCCCTAAAATAAGGGGCCAGTTTCCTCACACCATAGATGTGGGTGCTGACTCAGGTGCTGCCCACAGATCTCATTTCTCACATAAATTCTTTTGACTCATCAGATTAATCTTGTCAGGATCAGTGACGCCTCCTATTCCACCCTGATTCTGATGCCTTCCACATCCAGGTGACTTTTCTTACCTGAATCCTGTCCTGTATGTTTATGCCTGTTTCAGGTGTTTTGGGGGTGTCCTAAGAATAATGTATATAGCATTAAGAAGAGGTTTCTAACATTAGCCCATCATTGGAATTTCCCCAAACACCAACTGTATCCAAATCTCTGTCTCAGGTATTCTGAATTTCATTCATGTCCAGGACCACTGATATAAGAAATGGAGAACCCACAAAAGTTGCACTGACCTACCCCTTTATATTTATTTGGTATCTGTTGAAATGCCTCCTTCCCAATTTTCATAAAACTTGTTTTTCTACTCCTCATTATATTTTGTTGTTCAAGTAAAGAGATTCCACTGATTTCTAAGGTGCTTTCTAATTATTTCCTTCTGCAGATTTTGGACTTTTTTTTTTTTTATTAGTTCCTTAATGTGGAACATGAGAGTTTTTTAAACTTAATTTTTGTTGAGAATATATGAGTACTCTATTTACATCATTTTCACCTTTTCCTCTTTTTCCTCAATTCTTTTCATGTCTTCCTCCAATTCCCTCACAGACTCATGATCACTTTTTCTTTAATTATTATTGTTACATTTTATTGGAAGTCATTCTTTGTTTCAAATACAGGCCTCTGTTATGTGACTACAAATGGTGCTTTTCTCATTACTGAGACCAAACACCTGGCAACACAATTTAGTGGGATGGTTTGTTTTGGCTCATGATACCGTCCGTCATGGCTTGGTGGTAGATGATTCCATGGTAGCAGGGTCATGGATCCCCTGATCAGCTATGATGTGGGCAGTCATAAAGCAAAGAGAGTGCCTCCAAGTGACTCATTTCTTCCAACTAGACCCCAGACCACAAAGGTTCCACAGCCTCTAAAACAGCATGACTGTTAGGGACCAACTGATCAGACATATCAGCCTGTCAGGGGGCTGTCACATTCAGAGCATAACAACTTTCCTCTTAGAATTGCTATGTCCCACTGTTTTGTTGTGTTTCTGTCTTAGTTTGTCTCCAGATACTTTTCAATCCCATTTTGATTTCTTTGGGACCTATTCATTGTTCAGGAGTAGGCGGTTTTCTTTCTACATATTTGTGAATCTTCTGGTTTTCCTTCTGTTGTTGATTTCCAGGTTCATAACATTGTGGTTAGAAAAGAGACTTGATATGGTTTCAGTCTTCTTAAGTTCCTTACACTTGTACTGTGACTCATCATATGATCTATCCTGTGCATTGTGCTGGTGGCTACAAGTCCTTTGTGTCTTCTTAATTTTCTCTCTGAATGACTGATGTGTTGTTGAAAATGGTAGACTGGAATCCTCTGCAATTTTTGTATTGCAGTCTATCTCTCCCTTTAAATCTGTTGATATTTGCCTTGTATATTTAGATGCTGGGATGTTATTTGCATGTATATTTATTCTCTCTCTCTCCCTTTCTCTCGTGTGTGGTACTGGATGTGGAACCCAGGACCTCATGTGTGTTAAATAAGGACTTTGCCCCACTCAGCCCTTATATCTTTTTGATGAACTTGACCCCTTTATCTTCTTGACCCCTTTTATAATGACCATGCCTCATGATAATTTTTACTTAAAATCCATTTTGTCTGATATAAGAACATGTTGTTGTTCATTTTGCTATTTTGGGAATTCTACCACCCAGCTCCCAAATAAATCATACATGGAGGCTTATTCTTAATTATAAATGCCCTGCCTTAGCTTGGCTTGTTTCTAGCTGGCTTTCCTTAACTTTAAACTAGCCCTGTTTATCTTTGGCCTCTGGACTTTTATCTTTCTCTATTCCTGTATACCTTTCTTTGTTTCTTACTTGTGTCTTGCTGTGTAGCTGGGTGGCTGGCCCTTGATGTCCTCATCCTCTTCTGGCTCTTCCTTCTTCTCCCCCCAGATTTCTCCCTCTATACATTCTCTCTGCCTGCCAGCCCCACCCACCCTGTCTCCTGCCTCGCCATTGGCCATTCAGCTCTTTATTAGACCATCAGGTGTTTTAGACAGGCACAGTAACACAGCTTCACAGAGTTAAACAAATGCAACATAAACAAAAGCAACATGCCTTAAAATAGTAGTCCCCAACAAGAACATAATTATATTTTTTCTATAGCTTAATTTGTATTTGCTGAGGATGGTAGAAATCCATCACAGTGAACATCTCTCCTGAAATCCCCAGCAAGTTACAAGAAGCATATGCAGGACCAAGGTAATGGTGGGGAACAGCAGCCTTTTATTAGCACCATGAGGGGCTGGAGAGATTGCTCAGTGATTAAGAGTACTGGCTGCTCTTACAGAGGACCCAGGTTCAATTCCCAGGACCACATGGCAGCTTACAACTATCTGTAACTTTAGTTTCCTGAGGGGATAAAACATCCTTGTCTGGCCTTCATAAACAGCAGGCACATACTCTGGTACACAAACATACATGCAGGCAAAGCACCCATACATATAAAATATAAAACAATAACTGTAAACACATTTTATTAACACGATGCTTTGACCAGCTTAGCTAGCTGGGCACTCCCATTTAGTGAGGAGCTCTTTAGTCTTCCAGGTTTTCTGTCTACATAGCTGTCTCCTAAACATCCAGGGCCCATCCAGTGGTTGGTCAATTATCCCTGCAGGTCCAGGAAGGGATATATATTACTTCTATGTGTACAGCTTCTTCATTGTCTGCGGCTCTTCTGCAATCCTCTTACACCTATTGAAGGCACTCAGAGGGCTTCCTGTTGCCCTGATACCACACTAGAACAAAAGGCACTCTATACCCATGTAGCCCCTAACCACTTACCCCAACTCTGCATGAGCAATAGTGCCTGACCCTCCTCCTCCAAGTTCCAGTTCGTCCTACTGGCATCCCTTTGAGATCTTCACCAGCTGCTTTCCTCTCTTCTCACTCCAAGCCCGAAACATACACGTCTGATTTAGGAGACACAGAAGCCTCTTGTCTATGCCTTGAGTTCTTCTTAGGACCAACTACATACAATTTTGTAACTCAAAGGGTAGGATATAGCTATTTTTTTCTTAGATTTCAGCTGTTATTTTATTTCCAAGGCAATGTGCATGCCCATCGACTGAATAGATGACAAAAATGGGAGGGAAAGTGATAAGAATAATACTAAAGAGAAATATTAATATTGTGAGCACACTTGGCAAGTTAGGTAAAATGGGCACATATTTTGGCTTGTGTATGAATAGGCTACAAATATAAATAAGTTTATACATGCTGCAGCACATGTACTTTTCTGCTAAATTAATAAATTGGAACATTTGAAATAATTTTTCACAGAGTCTAGTCTACTCTTTCTGGATTAATTTGCTTTTTGTTGAAATTTATCGTGGGCGATGAAGACAGAATGATTTAAACATGTGCTGAAATATATTACCTCAAAAACAGTCTGTAGGTGATAGGCGTTTTAATAAATATTGCCATAGCCTTAAAGACTAGAGGATTAATTCTTTAGGATTGTTCTCAACTTGAAAATCAAAGACTGAAAGTGTCAGGACTATGCTTGTTCATCACCAAGCTCAGTCCCACTCTCCCCACTTTCACCCCACTGATAGAGGTATGACCCAATTTGGTCCATTATTTAAAAAAAAAAATGATCAATTTTGTATGGATTTGAATTTGGAAATAGACAAAAAAAATTCTTCCCATGAAGCCATTTAAATAAATTTCTGAAAAAAAATGAAATTAGTCTGTACAGGAAAACTCATACATTATTTTGAACAACTATACACTAAAATTAGTGCATGTCTGCCAACTGCTTACTCTGAAGCAAGCTGCTGTGGTCTGGGGAAGACATGCTAGTTGGTGATCTGGATAATTACTTTAAACTTTGGACATTTTTGCCCACCAGTGGAGATTTGATAATTGCTATCTGTTGTTGGATTTTCTTTTACTCTAACCTCACGTTGGAATGCCAAAATGTTGTTGTTGTTTTCCCTTTGCTCTTTCGGCTCTTTGTTCTTTTGGGGGGCCTGCCACCCTGATTCCAAATAAATCATACATGGAGGCGTATTATTATAAATGCCCAGCCTTATCTTGGCTTATTTCTAGCCAGCTTTCTTTAACTTTAAATTATCCTGACTATCTTTTTGCCTCTGGGCTTTTACCTTTCTCTTACTTTTGTACATCTTACTTTCACTCTTACTCTGTGGCTGGTTGTGTGGCTGAGTGGCTGTGTGGCTGGCCTCTAGTGCGTCCTCCTCTCCTTGTTCTCTTCCTCTTCTTTGATTCTCTTTTCTCTCTTTTTCTCCTTCTATTTGTTCTCTCTCTGCCTGCCACACTGCCTATCCCTTCTCCTGCCTTGCTATTGGCTGTTTAGCTCTTTATTAGACCATCAGGTGTTTTAGACAGGCACAGTTAACACAGCTTCACAGAGTTAAACAAAGGCAACATAAAAGAATGCAACACATCTTTGTATCATTAAAACAAATGTTCCACAGCATAAACAAATGTGACACATCTTAAAATGATATTCCACAACAGCTATTCGTTAAAACAAGGGTTCCCAGTGTCTAGTAGATAGATCCTCAAGTCAGGCTGTCTAACGTAACTCACAATACTCAGGGTAGGTCTCTATGACTAAGAAGTGTTTGACCTAAAATGTCAGTCCTGTCAAGCTGGGGAAATCCTGTTTTAAACGTGTCTGGACCTGTTGTAGTCATCGCTCACATTCCGAGTTTCAGGTCTTTCCAAATCCTTGGGAAGGAACAAGCTGAGGCCCCCAGATCTTTTCTGTACAGAACTCTTGGGGGTTTTGTTTTGCAGAGGGGAAGCTTGTTTCAGCCCACAGTAGAACACACGAAACACACAGGTTAACATGTGGGTGGAAATTTCCTTCAAAGCCTTCCAGAGGCGTTCCTTCGCAAAGACAGTGGGAGCAAAGATTCCAGCTGAGTTTCCAGAACCCAAACCACCGGGACTGTTGCCACGCCCTCACCTGGAAGTGGGATCTGACTGCTGGCTCCCCTGATCCTGTCTCAGCAACCCCACCAGGCTACCATTTCCTTTGTATTCTCCACACCTGGGTCAGAGCAGCACTTTCTTCATCTCCTCCTTTTTTGATAGTGAACTTGTTAATCTCTTTATCTTCTGAAGTTTGAGTCTTAAGAGGGCCTTTCCTGTGGTGAGGTTACACAATTTCAGACTTGTTATCTAGCACTATCGGTCATTTGGGGTTAGAGCTTGTCTGATAATGTTGGATTCAGGCAGCCTTTTGTAGTGGTCGTTCTGTTTCCTGATGCCTGTCTACCTGTATCAGGTCATTGTTGAGCGACTATTAGTGATTTAATGTTCACTGATTTGAGACGTCACCTACACCAGCATGCTGCATACCTTATTTTATTTCTGTAGTTATACAAATTAATGAAAAAAAACAAACAAACTTTGTTTTATGCCAGGAGAAAGTCAGTTTTCCTGTAGTAAACTTACAAGGTTTCTTTTGTTAGTATAACAAAACATAATCATGCAAAGTTTGCTTTTTCAAACAAGTTCAATAGCATTGAGCACATTTATATTGTATGATCTGCCTTTAGAACATTTCCAATCTTCTTGCCATATGGCTTTGATTCACTCCGCCATTAATTTATGACATGCCTGCCATTTGTAAGTTGTACCTTAATTTCAGAGATGTTTCAAGTGTGGGGAAGCATACCTCTCAGGATTACTGACATACACTTTTAAATTCTCAAATGTATTGGACATTTTTCTGGGTGCTCCATTAATTTGTCTCTGTGCTAATGCTTTACTGCTTGAGTTACTGGGGAGGGATTGTGTCTTGTAGCGAGTATCTGGGCTGGGTCTTTTCACTGGCCATCTTCCTCGAAAGAGTTCTCTTTTCCATAATGCTTGCCTACACATTTGATTCAACAGAGCTTCTTTCCTTGGTTCTTATTGGCCTTCCTCCCCCTTTTCTGCCTCATTAGCTAATCTTTTTAATTAGTAGGTGATTGATTATTAATTAATTAATGATTAATAAAATACTGTATGAATACTGGGAACCCCTATATTTTAAAAATTTAAGGGACTGAAGAGCTGGCTCCGAGGTTGAGAGTGTACTGCTTTTGCAGAAGCCTGCGTTTGGTTCCTAGTGCCCATGTCAGGTGGTTCACAACTGCCTGGAACTCCAGCTGCAAAGGATTCAACACCTCTGGTTTCCAGTGACACTCATACATACATGGCACATACATGCACTTGCACACACGTGTGCGTGCGCACACACACACGTACATATAATTAAAAATAATAAAATAAGTATTTTCAAAAATTCACACAAAAAAGACTTGATTGGGTCCGAAGGTGGCTCTAAGGCCCGGGCTAGCATATGTCTCTGAAGGTCTGGGTCTCTTCTGCCCCTCTGGATGTGCACCGCAGCCTTGCCGTGGTGGTACAGCCTACCCCCGACCTGCATTTTCTTCATGAAAGGGAAAAATTCCTATAAGAGTTTTTAGGACTGTGTCTTCCTTTTGTATCACATCCATGAAAGTCCAGCCTTCTTTGGTGAGGTTACCAGTCTCTCAAGAAGAATGGAATCTCTTTCTCGAATGTTTGCGACCGCGTCAGCATTTCCTACGGGTTCACTAATGCATTTTCCCTGCAGTAAGAGTTTGCTGTCCTGCCAGCTCCTATTAAAGTTTTAGCATTTTAAATATTGTATTACTAAAAGCTTATTTTTATTTGCATTTATAGATCATAAGCTCATTTCTGTGTCGCTTTACTGAAGAATCCATTAAAAGAGCCAGTTAATCGTGTAGAAAATGGCGTTCAGTGATCTTACATCGAGGACTGTGCGTTTTTATGATAATTGGATCAAAGATGCTGGTGAGTGATGAAATTTCCTAATTGAAGTTCATCTTTCCTTTTTACTTCAGATTCCCACATTAATAGGATTTATTTGGAACAAAATAAGAGACTTGACAACTTCGTACTTTATTACCTCATTCTTTATTATTAGTTAACCAAGAAGTGGTGCCCAGGGGTTTGGTTACAGCTAAAGCTTCATATATGCTCATGATGACGTTCATAATAGTGAAAACACTCTGGATATCTGTCTGCAGGAGAGAACTGGGTGATATGCCATGGCACGTCTCAACCCGGAAGCCCTTAGAAATGGTTTTGGAGGGTTAGTACTCTAATGTTCTAGAGAGAAATCACAGATGCTGCGGACAGAAGTTCAGTCCGTACTGATTCTAGAAAGAACTGCCCTTGCCCCTGAGAGGTGATGCAGAAAGAGCAGCGAGTAATAAAAACACAAACGGTCTTTTGGAACATCCAGTGTCACCAGAGTTTCAAATATGCAAACGGAAGCCATGCATGAAGCATCTTCTGTGGAGACTTGGGTCACATGTAGGTGGTGAATGATGGTTTGGGTGGTAGTGGATCTGCTGCTGGCGATTGAGGTCAGGGTCATGCATTTGTACTGTTGAGTGTGTGCTCTACAACTGAGCAACACCCAGTCTCAGGAGTAACTTTTTTTTTTTAAATTTGTCTATCAGCGGTTTTTGTTTTGTTTTGTTTTTCTTGTCTATCATCGAGTTTTCAAAGCCCAGGCAATGTGGTATTGTTTTAAAAACTATTAAAGTCTTAAAAATAAAACAAAGGTACAAAAGTTTTTAAGATAAAAGGCATCAGGATGCCTTAGAACTTAGACAGACCTGAGATACCATCCAACCTAATGTCTCATCGTAGAGCTGAAGAAATTGAAACCCAGAGATGTGACCTTCCCAAGGTTACTGTGAGTTGATAAAGAAAGAGAAAAAAACCAACGCTAGAACCAATGTTTCCTAATTATGGTTAGTGTTCTGGCATTTCGTGATTTTGTAGTTACTATGTCATACATAGTCTTCACTAAAATCACTTTGGAGTGACTCACTCATTGGCAGAAACCACAAGTTCATCATGTACCTAGCACACGTGAAACTACATCCTAGTTTACAGTGACGCCAACAAAGACACTGTTTCACAGGCAGCATCTTTCTCCCCAGGCTGCTAAAGGCCACATGACTTCTCTAAAGTTTTTCCAATCATTTTGTCCCTCAAGAATGCCAAGGATAGGTGAGCTTTACTCTATTGTGGCTAATAGAGTAGCTATTTCTCTATTTCCTTATCTTTTTCTGAAAGTTTCAACTTACTTGGTTCAGGAAATGTGCCAGGTTCTTTAGAGGTTATCTTTCTCCAATGACTTATAGTGATTGCTACAAATTCAATACTTAATGTAAATATTAATCTTCCAGTTGCATTTCAAAGGAGAGATGTATATTGCTTACTCGATTCTCACTATTTGAACTTGGAACCCAGGGAGATCCAGGTTTAATTAAAACAAAATTATTGCATGTATGTATGTGCCACAGGGTCTGTGTAGAAGTCAGAGGAATCTGTAAGGCTGGTTCTCTCCATACACGTAGTGTGGCTTCTAGGGATGGAACTCAGGCCATTAGGCTCATACAGCAAGCTCCTTACCTACTGAGCAATCCTACCAGCCCTGGGAGCAGTGTTCTAGAATTGTTCAATCCAAATGTGATTATTCACTACCGTCAATGCAAGAATCGAAGAAATTCAGATCATCCTTATCTTAACTCAAGAGCCAAGTGGACGCAGATGGTGGAGACTGGTCACGTGGCCCCAGAAGTGTGAAATACTTCAATACAAACTATGTCAGAATGCTGCTTCCACCTTTATCTGTGGACCAGCTCTTTACTTTTTGTTAGAGGTACTTCCATCAAAAAAAAGTGAATTAACACTAGGTCAGAAAAAGGAGCAGCAAAGGATCATCGGCAGTTGAAAAAGAAGGACTGAGGAGAATCCCTGCAAATGGACCAGGCAAGGAGAGAGAGGAGAGAGGCACAGAGAAGGTAAATCTCACACTTCTGAATCTGATACTCATTTGATGTCTTAGGAGAGGAAAGGCCATGGGATACGGGAAGAGAAGAGTCGGGTCTCAGGTCCCTCTCTATCCTAGACTAATTGAGTGACCTTGAACAAACTATTTTTTTTTTTTGAGTAAAACTAAAGTGAGGATAGCATCTGTCAGCTACTGCATAAGATGTGTGGAAGTGCTCTGTTACTGGGGAAGTGTCCTGACACAAATAGACCGGGATGTTACAAATTATGTTAGATACTTTGAAGGTGATAAATCACTTAAGTTGTTTTTTGTGTTTTTTTATTTTCCCTTGTCAAGGTCTAGCAGAGCTAAAAGGATTTATATTAAGACTTACAACTTTGTAAAAAGGCTGGCCTGTGCCGCGGGAGAGTTCTTCTTGTATTTAGTGTGGTATTGATCTGGAGTGGCATTGGTTTTGCTTTTCGTACCCTGGGAAGGGCCAAATACACAATCAAGAGCCAAGAATCTCAAGTGTATTCTTGGCTTTGGCCCTAGTCCTGTGTGGCCTTGGGAAAACTTACTGTTCCCAGTTTTCTGATCGCTGGAGAAGCAGTGGGTATGCATAGTTATTTCATGTGGAAAAATTCTACGGCCACAAACTTTTTAGGTAGCTTAATGTGTAAGGTAGAAGAGAGTTTATTGGAAGTCTTTGATACAGAATGGTAGATTTGAGAAATCATCCTATAGCAGCATTTTGATCTGAGGAGAAATGCAAAAGCAGCCTTTTGTATGTTCAGATGGTAGTGCTCACCTCCAGACAGTGTGAGCTTGCTTTGCAGGGAGATGGAGGATGCGTGGATCTGCTGCCTCTCTGAACTCTTAGTAGATCAGAAAGTACACGGGGGGGAACAGTCTTCCTTCCCTTCCAGCCTCATTCTGCTGGGTACTTAGGATTTCATAGTGTGTACCCTTTGAAGAAGCACACGATGCTTAAGAACCCTGTCTTCTAAGTAGTTGGTGGAAAGGCTCCTTAATATTCTACATATCCAGCACTGCACTTTCCCTGTCCCCCCTTTCTCTCTGGGGAAATCTTAGGAAAGAATTATTAAGCTCGTGGTAAATCAGCACTGTAGTGGGCTCTGGGGTATAGCCAACCACACAGCCTGATTTCTCAGCCTTTGCTTTCTTTCCTCTTAGCTCTTCTCAGGACTATTGGTGAAATTATTACGGCCACTCCACATAGTTAAAAGGATATTCATTTAATGGCGTAATTTACAAATGAAGGGATAGGTAGGTCGCGGGGTCTGGGGAAGGTGTATCGCAATCCAGCGGTGTTCTCTGGAGCTCTGCTCGGTCCACCTCTACCGTCCAGGGTCCTGGAACAGAGAGAGCGCTGGCCCATCCAGATCTCGGGTCTCCATGTGCCTCCCCTGGCCCCGCCTCGTAGGTGTGACAGTTGCCAGAGTCTCAATGGGGGTTGGAACTTCCAGATTAAAGCTGGAATGGCTACCCACTACACAGGACACTTAAATCAGCTCTGATGTCAGGTACATGATACACAAGACTGTCCCTTCCTCTGAGGAAACAGGGAACACTTACCCCTGATAGACTGAGTCAGAATTAACCTTAAATGTCATTGTGCCCTCTTTACAGTTTCCATGTCAAGCTGTCGTCCCCAACTCACCCACAGGCATGTCAAAGGAAAAGCCCACCCTTCACAGGGACGTGGATTGACTCCCTTTTCAGGAAGGCAGGTTACTACTGAGAGAGGCAGGAGACAGGGACATTAGCTGGAGATCTAAACATCATGCTAAAGCTGTGAGGTTTAGTGGTCAGTGAGGGAGAGCTCATTTAAGCAAGAGAATCATCTAAGCAGAGCTCTACTTTCAGAAGGTGATTTTGGCAATTGTATGGGGGACAAACCACAGTTTGGATCCAGAGGCAAGAAAAGATTGTCACAAAGCCTACTGTGGGACCTTGCAGCTTTGTATGTGGCTCATGGAAACTTGATCACACACTAGAATCCTGATTTCTTAATTTGGACAGTTCCTTGTGGTCATTTCAATAGCTTTTAAAAAGATTGCCTGTTTACCAGTTATAGTTGTATCTGTGTATGTGGTGCAAAATGGTATTTTAACTGATGTACACATTGTGAAATGACTAAATGAGCTAGTTAGCATAACCCACCTGTTGAGAACATTGGAGACATCCTGTGATAGGAATCTCAACTACATAGTGTACTATTATTATTATCATATAATGTATATTATTATATTACTATATGGTAATATATTATATCATATATTATGTAATATAACACTACATATTATATTATGATATATAGTACTACATATTATATTATAGTATAATATGCTATATATAGTATTAGAGTGCTATATACCCTTATAATAGATTTCAAAAGAGTTATTCTGCCTAAGTTAAATTTTGTACTTTTTGCCCAACATGTCTCTCTCCCTGTTGTCTACCCAGACCCTTAACACCCTTTATTTCACGTATGAGACTGTGTATTGCTTTTTGAGTCTGGCTTATTTCAGTTAGTGTAACAATGTATCGTCCCACTTGTCAAAAGGTTGCAGAGGACATGGTTTCCTTCTTTTGAGAGACCCAATGATATCCTATTTACATTGCTCTCTTTATGCATCTGATGATGGACCACTGGGTAGATCTGGCTTCTTGGCTATTGTGAATAACACTGCAATGGGTCTGACTGCTGGTAGCCTCAACAAACAGTTTCCAACAATGAGGCTGCTGGACTTGCGATAATTCAACTTTTCGGCTTTAATGGGGTCTTCATGTGGTTTTCTTAGTGGCTGTACTCACTTGTGTCTCATCATGAGTGCACGGGGTTGCTCTTCCTCCATGTTTTCAGCAGCTCTCATTATCTCTGTTTGTTTGATGATGCAGCCTCTAAGCAGTAAGTGATGTTGTATTCTGGCATTGATTTGTAGTTTCCTGATAAATTAGTGATATTGTGCATTTATTCTTCCCTTTGTTGACCACTTGTGTCTCTTCTTTTGAGAAATTAAGTCCTTTGCCATTTTTTTTATGGTTGCATTTTAAAAACTTATATGCCTGGTATCCACCCCTTAGCATTCTGATTCCGTTGGATTAAGGTCTTTGCCTTTTTTTTTATTGGACTTTTAATTGCTACAGACATTATTCAGCTATGATTACAGATTTGAGATCTACTGTAATGACAGTGACAAGCTTATTGAGTGCACACATTGAGGTTAAGTCAATTACCTAAAGCTGCATAAAGGGCCAGAGGGAAGGACAGGGTCACGACTCACCGACTGTCTGCCTCCAGAATTTTGCTGTAGTACAATCTTTAGAGCCTGGTGTAAAGAGGGCAGGTAAGGAGATAACTCAGTGAGTAAGCTGTATGTAGTGTGACCATGAAGACCTGAGTTCAATTCCCGATGCCTATTTGAAAAGCCTGGAATGGTGGCCCATGCCTAGAATCCCAGCTCTGGGAAGCAGGGACAGGGATCCATGGTACTTACTGGCCAGCCAGTTTAGCCAAATCACAGAAAAAAAAAAAAACAAGTGGATCATTTCTCACCAATGACCCCAAGGTTGACCTCTGGCCTCCTCACATGCACACATAAATGAATGTTCCTTTGTACACACAAACATATATTTAACTTTTGTTGTTATTTTATTATCTCTTTTGAAAATAACATAAAATGAAGTAAACAAGCTTTTCCCATAATAACTTTTTATTTGTAGCACTTGGACGTCTACAGGATTTTAAGAAAAGGTGTGTGCTGAAAAAGTTAAATCACAGGAAGAAAGGATTTATTTGGAAATGATTTTCTTGGTCTTCCCGAGCTAGCCTGGCATGCTTTTCTTGGCTTTGTTTTCTTTCTGTTGCTAACAGAGGAGGAACAGGAGGATGATGTCATTTGGTTTTTCTTCCCCTGCCAAGTCAGTGAAAGAATCAAACAAAAGATATCTCTGATCAAGAAGTACCTTTACTGACAAGTGTTGTTTGAAACACTTTCGTTTTAAAACCGTATTTGGAGGTGGCTAACAACAGAAACATTTGCAAATTGCCTCTGCAGAAGAAACCAGAAGTCTCCCACATCGTGGCCAAGCTGTTCGAGGCAAATGCAGTACTCCAGGGCTCTTCCTTTAGTGCTGATTTCATTAGCCTTTATTTTATTAGGAATAAAAGCTAGACATATTAATAAAACAATAAAAACTAGACTTTGGCTTTATGGCATTCATATATTAAGGTTTACATTGACCATCGGGGAAGGAGTTCATTTAAGGCCGATCAGTTCTAATTCTGTGCCTAGATTCCCAGTTCTGTGACAAACTTTATTTCCTGTAACTCCCCTCGTGGTGTTCAGGTCCACACAGTGATTGCCAATGATGACCAGAAATCCTGTTGTAGGAAACTTGCCATTGTTACAAGGCTGGAGAAGAACTTACTGGAGTTATTGATGGTGTGAGTGGCTTTGTGGGTGCTGGGAATTGAACCTGGGTCCTCTGAAAGGGCAGCCAGATAAGAACAAGATCAAATCCTAAACGTCTGGCATTGGTTTTTAAGTTGGCCATTTACTCCTTAGTTTGCTTTGCTTGTTTTGAGACGATGGCATCTGCTGGCATTCTTGAGGGAGGCCCACTTGAAGACAGGATAAGTCACCTTTCCTAGCTAAAGCCCTGAACATTCGACTGTTGCCGGGAACATCTCCAGCACTGAAAGTGAGACTGAATGAGGGGACAGTCATGGAGTTCTCCTGAAGAAGTTAGGGGTGAGAAGTCAGACCTCCAGGGATGCTAAGGTTTACTGGTCACTGGCTTTCTTGTTAGTGATTTAGATGAACAGGGATGCGTGTTCCAGGTCCTCTTTCATAGTGATGAAGGTGATGCTCTATGTGGAGCTGAGTCAGATGCTCCTGGAAGCTGCCCATAGCCATTTTCCTCCATACCACTCTGGCTTCATGAGGTCACTCGGTCAAATTACACCCCAAGTGCTTGAAATTATAGAATGAATCACAGTTTGTTTTTAATTGCAATTTTTAAATGCCACAATCCTGCTAGCCTGGAGCCAGCAAGAACTGGATGAACTTATGTTTATGTGGTTGTAAGGTCATTACCTGTTTGATTTGGTTCAAAATATCAGACTTACTGGCTCACACTTTTGACACCTAGGACATATACTTTAGATGGTTAGATATTGATATTGTCCCGATTTCGGTTTTGTGGTTCTATGATATACTATCTGAGGAAGTATGTCAGTTTTCTTAGGAAACTAAGGGAATGAATAAGCAGCAAATATAAACACATTATTTTAAATATAAAAGAATATCTGAATGGAAAAAATATTTTTGAAATGGGGTCTCATTTATCCCAGGCTGGCCTTGAACTCCTGATCTCTTGCCTCCACCTCCCAAGTGCACCACCATGCCCATGTAGGATGGACATTTTCTGAATGTTGATTGTGGTCATGGATGGTGGAGCATCTCCTCCAGATGTGTTTATCCCCACTGCTTAGATCTTGGAGAAATTATGTATCTGAGACCCCGATGCCAGTAACGTGGGGCTCTGGCGAGGGCTTTCCTGAGTGGCTGTTGTCTTGCTTCATGTCATTATGTGGCAGAAAGATAGCGGAAGAGCTTGCTAGGGTCCATTTTATGACACAAACTCTGTTGGTGAAAAGCTCTTTTCACCATCACATTATGGGGCTAAGATTTCAACACATGGGTTTTATTTATTTCATTATTTTTTGAGACTGACCTCAAACTTGATGTGTAGATGCAGACGACTTTGAATTTCTGATTCTCCCGTCTCCATTTCCCAAATGCACTACTGCCCCAGGCTCAACACCTGGATTTGAAGAGGATGCAGAATTCAATCCATGGCATGGTTCCTCCAGAAGGGCTTTTTCAGAGACACCCCGCCCCCCCACTTTAGATTCTGGTGACAAATACCTCTTGCCCTTTGAAATTTAAAGGTGATGACAGGCTCCCTGCTCCTGGGGATTTCTCCTGTGCCCCTTCCTAAGGATGCTCGGGACTGTGCAGTGGTGCACAGTCAGTGCTGGGGTACAGGTTGCTGGCTGTTGTCTCTGGGTTAGGGGGTCATGCACTTACCTGTTATCTTTCTCTTAGATCCAAGAGTTGAAGACTGGCTCCTCATGTCCTCGCCTCTGCCACAAACCATCATCCTGGGGCTCTATGTCTATTTTGTCACGTCTCTGGGACCAAAGCTCATGGAGAATCGGAAGGCCTTTGAACTCAGGAAAGCGATGATAACGTACAATTTTTTCATAGTACTGTTTTCTGTGTATATGTGTTACGAGGCAAGTGTCTTCAGTATTCCTAATGGGAAAAGTTTGCCTGAGTCTTGTGTGTATCTGTCAGTATGTTTTTGTTATGACTATGGAGCACTTCCCCCACCCCGCCCCCACCCCCTTTTTTTTTGAGAGTCAAGGAATTTAGAAACTAAGCAGATGTTTACAACAACAAAAACACCAAAATTGCCATGTCTAGATAAAATAATAAACCCAGGGATCTCAGGACAGTTTCTATCATGGATAAGTGAGAAAAAAAAAAAATTGACCTCAGAGATTTGCACGTGATACATGTTAGTTTTTGAGGGAACTCAAACTCAGAGAAAATAATTGATGAACTCAGCGTGATAGCTGGTAAGTAGAGGGCCGATCCCGGAACGCAGGTCCAGCTGACTCCAGAGCTGGTCTTGTCTTTGTAACAATCTGTCCCATCACGGTGGGAGCTTGTGGTTACTCTGTGCTCCAGCGAGCTATACAATGGCCGGCTGTTTAGGTTTTAGAGGCTTGGAGGCAAAAGAGAACATGGACTCATGTGGAATTGTAGGTCATCAAGCCCTGTCCCTTGGTGGAAGAGAAATAGGAACAGACTGAGCCCTTCTCCTCTGCTATTCACGTGTCTCGGCTCCTCACACAGACCTGCTTCTCTAGGTTTCTCTGGTGTATTTCCAACCCTGGCTGTCTTCCTCCTTCTGTTTATTTATTTATTTATTAGCATACCTTGTGCTTGCTCATATTTGGGGTCTCTGAGGAACCTTGCTGGCCTTGCTGGCTCTGTAGCACCAATCTCATTCCTGCTACCAGTGACCTGATCAGATCACTTAAAATCTCTGCTCACCTTTTCTCACAGGCCACTCTCAAGTCCAGCTTCATTCTGCTGCTTGGCACTTCTTCGTTTCTACTACTTGTCCACAGACCACTACTCTGCTGTCCCTTCGAGACTGTGAACAGGTGGCTCCCATGTTCTCAGAGAGAGAATATACATTTGAGAGAGGTTAAGAACATTCTTGGAAGCCAGGAGCCCACGCTGGCTCGTTTTGACCATGTTACTTTTCTTTAGGCTTCAGGTCTCTTCTATTTTTGTTTTTGTTTGTTTTTGGTTTTGGTTTTTCAAGACAGGGTTTCTCTTTGTAGCCTTGGCACATTTCTTGGAACTCACTCTGTAGTCCAGGCTGGTCTTGAACTCAGACAGATCTGCCTGCCCCTGCCTCTTGAGTGCTGGAATTAAAGACTTTTGTTTTTTGTTTTTTGTTTTTTTGAGGCAGGTTTCCTCTATGTAGTTTTGGTTCCTGTCCTGGATCTCACTCTGTAGACCAGGCTGGCCTTGAACTCACAGAGATCCACCTGGCTCTGCCTCTCCTCTTCTGCTGTAATGGCAGGATTGAACTAGTTTTCCTCTCAGGTCCCAGAATGTTCTAGTATTCTCGGGTTCTGTGTTTGACATTGCCACTGTTGTGATGACCCCAAATTATGATTTCTCAAGTTACATATCCAGTAGTAACCAGCTAGTTTTTTGTTCTTGCTTTGTCGATTGCAACATAGAAGAAGGTTAAAAAAAAATATTGGAATCCAAGAGTTTCTGACTTCATGAATACTTGAATTATAGTTTCAGGACTTAACTGACCACTGAACACAACCCATTAACCTTTTCTTTACTAGCCGAGAATAGAGGTAAAACTGTCAAAAACCTTCACAGGCTACTGGTGTGTCCTTAAAGTCAGAATCAGGAAGATGTTAGCTCCACTCTTTTAACTTTAACCAGGGCGTGCGCTCTCTGCTGGCCATAGCACAGCACAGGCCTAGTGTATGGGAGGGAGCAAGATTCTGTCAGGTTCTCAGAGTAGATGCCTCTGCCCGGTATGCTGGGCCAAATGTGAGCAAGGAGGAAGAGAGCCATGCCATCCTGAAGAAATCCAGCTGTTTGCTTGTGGTTGTGTGTGCTACACCCCAGGCACAACTCAGACGGTAATGAGGGAGGGAGCAGGTGAGACCCACAGAGGCCAAGACATGGAGCATCTCTCATTTGCTACAGCTCTTGTTAGTGTTTAGATAGAGCTAGTCATCTAGTGTAAGTAAACAGCTCCTGGGGCTAGGGCAGTGGTTCTCAACCCTCCCAACATGGCGACCCTTTAATACAGTTCCTCATGTTGTGGTGACCCCCCCCAACATAAAATTATTTCATTGCTGCTTCATAACTAATTTTGTTACTGTTATGAATCATAATGTAAACATCTGATATGCAACTCCTGTGAAAAGATCATTTGATGCCCTCCTGAAGGGGTCAGGACCCACAGGTTGAGAATCATTGGGTTGACTATTACATCAGTTGATATGAGTCTGAGCATGACAGAAATGACATTTTTCACTGACTTGAGGGTTTAGAGCACTCACTGTTTCTGTCACACTCCTCTGTTACTTTGAAAAGATCTATTGACTTGATTTTTAGGGCATTTTTTCAAACCATGAATTGCAAATCCTATACTTTTCTGAGTTTTATTGTTCAAGATCTCATAGCTTTTTCAAAACTTATATTATCCTATACTGCAGAGTAGGTGTGCGTACAGAGAAGGGGGATGCATTTTAAATACCTAGTTAAATTTGTTCTTTCTACTTTTTCCTTCTTTTTGCATATTAAAATATCATCTTGGCTGATTTCTGATGGTGGATACCTGTTATCATAGCCCTTAGGAGGCTGAAACAAGAGAGTCATAAGTTTGAGGCCAGCCTGGGCTACATAGCAAAACCCAGTTTCAAAAACTAAACATACCCAGGCTAGAAAGCCTTTAAGTGTGCATTTTTATATTTGAAAGCACACAGCACAGGCCTAGTGTATGGGAGGGAGCAAGATTCTGGCAGTTGCAGAGTGAGAAGTAACACTTGGAGAGAGAGAGACAGAGAGACAGAGAGAGAGAGAGAGAGAGAGAGAGAGAGAGAGAGAGAGAGAGAGAGAGAGAGAGAGAGAATGTTATTGTCCCTACCCCAGATCAGCCCAACCATTATATGTATGCATTAATTACAATCAAGCACTTGGCTTTCTTTTTTAGCTACTGTTTTAAAAGATCTTCCCACTATCAAACTAAAAGAATGTCAATATGATCTTTGAATTACAATTCAGACTTATCAACAATAGGCTTTTATTTTTAACACCAGTAGAAGGTCATTTTGTGGGTGTGTTGGAATGACCGTGTGCCAGATTATACTCCAGTTAGTAACAAGAGCATTGTCTTCCCTTATTTGTCTTGTGAATTCCAAGTGCAACTGGTATCAGAGCTATGTATGGTCAGTTTATATGTTAAAGGAGGAGAGAGTATTAGAGCCAGGCACCACCACTTCATACTGGACTTGCCAGCCATGGGTAGGAAAGGCATAGTGGCCATGGGTAGGTTTTTGTTTGTTTAATACTTACTGATTAATTGGGAAGATTTGGAATGGCCAGAAAAAACAGACTCAGAGCCAGGCACTGCCCCTTAAAAGTACATGAGCACACATATGTAGTAGACATAGAAAATATTTGCTAATGAAGCAAAATACTCCCTGGATTTTGCCCTTCACTATGTTAAAGGGATTCTCCTAATGGACAAATTAGCCAGAATGCAGTTCATGTAAATGGTGGCTGTGAAAATGCCAGCTGCCAAGCCTTGCCCCGAAGCATGTTTTGTGTGTCCTGGTTCTCACTGCCTCTTCCCCTGCACTGCCTGCTTACTCAGCTGGTCATGCAACTAGGTGTAGTCCAAACCGCCTCTGCTGTGGCGGTTAGCAAGTTCTTCCTCTTTAACATGCGTGTTTTCCCTTCCAGTTTGTGATGTCTGGCTGGGGTACAGGTTATTCGTTTCGATGTGACATTGTTGACTATTCTCAGTCACCGAGAGCGATGAGGGTGAGTTTCTCTTTGGGGAAAATCTGTAGTTCAAAATCATGGTGAAAAACTCCTTGGACTTTGGAATATTGCATATGAATTCAGAATGAGTGGATGACTCTGTTATCAGATTATATAAATTAGGGGAAAAAGCTAAAATTATAAGAACGAATTAAAGGAGGTCTGGTGTATAAATTCTATAAAATGACAGTGCTGTCTAAATTTCTTGGGTTTCAAAACTTACCTGATTTCTGAAAGATGAGAAATAGAATTTTCATAAGATCTAGCAATTCCACTTCTGGCAATATTCCTAAAGGGGTTGAAGTCAGGGACTCAAATAGATGTCTGTCTACACATGACCGCCACACCATTATTCACAGTGGCCAAAATGTAGAAGCAACCCAAGTGTCCATGGATGGTAAATGGCTAAACAAAATGCGCCCCCTCCAGACACACACAGACATACACACACATACACAAAGACACACACACACATACACACACAAACACAAAGACAGACAGACAGACAGACAGACAGACAGACACACACACACACACACACACACACACACACACACACACACACACACACACAAAGAATACAATATTATTCAGCCTGTAGAAGCTACACCTTGTGTGAGTCTTGAGGACATTGTGCTAACTGGTATATTCATCACAAAAGGACAAATACTACATGATCCAGCTTATACGAGGTGCCCCAAATAGTCACACGCCTAAGACAGAGGATAAATAGAATGATGGCGGGGCTGGAAAGAAGAGGGAGATGGGAAATTATTTTGCAATGAGTATAGTCTCGCTTTTTCAACATGAGGGAGTTCTGCGGACGGCTTTGTAATGGTTGTAGAGGGATGTAAATGAAATCAGAGCCACCAAACTATACCTTAAAAAAATTGACTGGGATGGTAAATTTTGTTATGTGTTTCTAAAACCATATTTTAAGTAAATGTCTCATCCGTATTGAATAAATAAGTTCTTATCTGTGTGTATTTCCCCAGATGGTGCACACCTGCTGGCTTTATTACTTCTCCAAGTTTATTGAGCTGTTGGACACTGTGAGTATGTGGTAACTGATGTCTCACGGAAGCAATAAACTGCTGGTGTGGCCGTCACATACCTTGGCTTATCTCCCTCCCTTGGCTAGCCTACTGTTACCTTTCTTTTCCTTTAATTCCCTGTGTGTTTAGAAAGCTCACTCTCCAGCATGTCACAGCCTCTCACTACAGTTTTAAAAACATGTAGGTATTACCTGAGTGCGATACACAGGGTCACTGCCACTGACTCTACAGGACTGCACACCTCGATGTGGATGGTGGCAGTTCTTTAGGAAGCTGTTCCCAAAGCAAGGAGCCGAGACGGTGTTACCTTGCACCAAAACACAGTGTCCACCATACTCTTGTAAGACACTTAGGCATCACGATTGGCAAACTCCTGGCAAAGTGTGGTGTCACCATGGGGTGTCACACAAACACTATCTCCAGCTGCTCTTCTGAAAGCTGAGCTTGCTGGGCCCTCGTTCCCTCTGCTTTGGGTCCTAGTGAGGGTCAACTCTGGACCTTGAGTGATCGGGTTCAGGGGTTAATGTGCTCTGAAAGTGGAAAGCCAAGAGCTTTAGTTTCCTGCTAGCATAGGAAAGCTATGCTCGGTTTACTGACAAGTGTGTCTGGAACACACACCACCACACTGTGTGTCAGAAATGTTCACACTTGACACCCTTAGTTGACTCAAAACATAAAAATGTTAGGTTTGAGAAGGGACTTTGGAGGATTTTAAAAATCCAGGGCTTCTCAAATTTTAGCCTGCATTAAAATCACCTAGAGGAATCTCTGAACTCAGGAGGCTGAGGCAGGACCACAAATTTGAGCCCAGCCTGGCCTACATAGCAATAGCCTGTCTTTAAAAAGAAAAGAAAGGAAGAAAAAACAAAGCAAAACAAAACATGGAGGACTTGTTAAAGCACAAACGATGCTTGAACTCCCTAGCGCCTCGGATTCAGTAGGTCCTGGGTAGAGCTCGGGAATTCCCTTTTCTAACCGTTTTTCAGATGTTCTTTGAGAAGCTACTTGCTGTGGACTCCCGGTCCTCAGCATTCAGGTACCTTACAATTACACGCATCAGGAACAAAACAGTACACACAGGACCCTACCTCTTGAGAGCCGACGCCTGATGGTCTGGAGTAGGGACTATACACATGGGTATTTTTAAACTCTGTTTTCATATTGTAACTTGCAGCCAGGTTTGGGAACTACCGTTCTAGTTCAGAACCCTCACTCCCGGGGGTAAACATGGACCCAAGAAGTTGAGTGGCTTCCCCCAGAGACCGGCTGCGGTGAGAAGAGGACCCCTGTTGGAAGTCTATGACCCTATGTTGCACCAGGCTGGGTTCTTCCATGTGCATAAGCAAATGCGTTTGGCTTGGAGGACTCTGCTTTGCATATTCTCAGTTGCAACTTCCATAAAGAAACTGTTTCCGCCTTGAGGCCTTCCAAGTTTTCCTGACACAGTAATGCTTTGTGTTAGGCTCTGAATTTTTAAAGTCTAACTTCACCCTGGTGCTGTGAACTAGTCCGTTAGCGCATTCTTTGACACCCTCCTCCCCCACACAACTCTGCTTTCTCTCCCGTAGGGAGCCAACACTGGGCATGCGCAATCACAATGGTACCTTTGTTGCCTTTTTATTTATTTATTTATTTATTTATTTATTTTATGCAGCTCTGCTTTCTTGTCCACAGTATTTTTAGGATTAACTCTTCAGGACTTTCAGCATTTGTTTTTCTTTGGTAATACAATAGTATTACTTTTTTTTTGTTCTTCCAAGTCCACTTTCAGTTTGACTAACCCTTATCCAAACTGGTAAGATGTGTTAGAGAGAGCAATGTTGAATGAGATAATTTCAGTCCTAAGAATTATGGCTGAACTTCTGGCTGTCATGTAGTTCAAAACTTAATGAGTTTTTTTTAAATTAATTAATTAATTCATCAATTAATTATTTTTTGTTTTTGTTTTCTGAGACAGGGTTTCTCTGTGTAGCTTTGCGCCTTTCCTGGAACTCACTTGGTAGCCCAGGCTGGCCTTGAACTCACAGAAATCCGCCTGCCTCTGCCTCCCGAATGCTGGGATTAATTTAATTTATTTTTTTATCAATAGCATTTCTTTCAATAAATTCTGACCAGAGTTTTCACTATGTTTGCTTTTTAAATCTGTATAAAACTTCTCACCTTCTTATTGGCTCTCTCCTGATTACTGTACCATGCCCAAGTTCAAGCATGCTGTTAGCCTTTGAACTGCGCCCTGGAGAACCAAGCTACCCCTGTGTACACCCCGTAAAGCAGCCCATAGGAAGCCAATTGTGAAATTGTTTGCTCTTTACCAATAATTTTGTAACAATAAATTATTGCATGGTTTTTATGAACTTGATTTTCTTTAAACTATTTCAGGTCTTTTTTGTTCTGCGTAAGAAAAATAGCCAAGTGACTTTCCTTCATGTCTTCCATCATACAATCATGCCATGGACCTGGTGGTTTGGAGTCAAGTTTGCTGCAGGTAGAAAAGGGAGAGCTGGGATCATGTGATCTATAAGTGATGACATTTTCGTGTGCTACAAACACAAATTCTGCTCCTAAATGTAATTTATAAGACTTTTAAAAAAAAATCAAAGAGCCATTTTGGTTAAGCTGCTGACTTTGGAATTATCACCTGAAACACAAGCATAGGACTCTTAGATTCCCCACTCCAAGTCTTCAGACGTGAAGACTTTTGAGCAAGACCTTCTATGCATATTCTTTCGTTTTGTTTAGGTTTTATTGTTTCCCTTTAGAGTTCTATTACATGTTTTCAATTAAATAGGTTAAAAAAAAAGATAAAATATCGAAAGCCTTGGATCCATTGATATCTACTTAAATAATATTCCTAATTTGTTCACAGGAAGTGAGAACGCTATCTCCAGTTCTGTTTTGTTTGCCTTCAATTCCTGATAAGCGGCACACCCCATCTTAATCTGTTCTGTGTTGCTATTCAGATTACCAGAGGCTGGTTGGTTTATAAAGAAAGGAGGTCTGCTTAGCTTGTGGTTTTCCATGCTGAAAGTCCAAGGTTGGGCAGTATTATCTGTTTGACCTCTAGGCAGGTCTAGCAGTATAACATAGCATCATAGCAGAACCAGCGAAGAAAGGAGGGAGAGAAAGGGGTGGGGCAGGGAGAAGTGAGCAAAGGAACAGAGACTGAGAACAGGGATGCATAGCAGGAGACGTGGGAAAGTCCTGATTTATAATCTGAGGTAGTTGACATAATCGCCTCTCACTAAGCTCCACCTCTTAAGGGGCCCATGACCTATCGGCCCAGTTGCACTGGAGACAAAGCTTTTGGCACATGAACATTTATGAATAAACCACATCCAAGATGTGGCAAACAACATGGAAACAACTTTAAAGAGGAGCCAGATCACGATCACTCAAGTTCCCACAGCAGTCTACCATAGGACACAATATTCTGTTTATGCTTTTCAGGTCAGAGATAGTTTAAACCAAAAGCTTGAGCCTAAGTGTCTGCTTCATTTTGGTTTTCTATTTCTGAACACCTAGAATTGGAAAAAGTAGGCAGGAACTTTATTCTTTCATAAAGTTCCAAAGAAACAAAGTCTTCAAGCATGGATTTCCAGGTTAGCAAACTTTGCTGTAAAAATGACTTATCCTGTCTTTTTTAACATCCAGAAGTCACGGATGCCCACAGTTGTAAACCTTTATTATTTGATTCATCTGAAGGTTTCTTCTTTTTGTTTTCTCTCCACTGCATATTGGGCCCCTCAGGTCTCCTAAGTGAGGTGCACTAATGTCTTACTTATATTGATGAAAAACTGGAAACCCTAGGGTAGCTATGATTTCAATACCCTCTCCTAGGGTGGTTACAATGTCTTGTGTGTTTAAAGGCATGAAAAGAACATGATATAGAGAAGCACTTGTGCAAGCGTTCCCATTAACCACGTGACTGCTAATGATAGACAAAGATGACTGTTTTCCTTTTTAAGATGTTAATAGAGGTGTTCTCACACCCTGTAGCTCTATTTCTGTCTCTTCTGTAACACCAGCATCATCAGCCTTCCATATCCATGGGCTCTGCATCCATAGAATCAGCTAACCATACATCAAAACCAAGGAAGAAAAACGGCTCCCGTCCCGAATCATGTACTGACATTTTCCTTGACATTTTCCCCTAAGCAATACAGTACAGAACAGCTTCCATTACATGCACATGGCTTCGTATCATAAAGTCTGTGGGAGCATGTGCACAGGTTTTATGCATACAATCCACCATTTTCTGTAAGGAGCTTTGACTATCCACAGACTTGGCTATTACCAGGGAGTTTTGAAACCTCCCTCTCATGAGTCTCAAGGAACAGCTATACTATATCACAACTCTGAAGAAGAAATTGGAGAAAAAAATTGGAAGACAGTACTCCAATTTTTTTGTTTGAAGATACCCAAACCAATGTGTTCCCCTCAGCTTCTTTATCGTTCTCTGTGGTTTCCCATCTTTCCGTTTGAATAGCTGGCAATTCCACTATGGGAAATATATTTTATTTAAAGAATGGAATCGAGTGGTTTTCTCACCTTTAGTTGAATCTGTTCATGGTCTAGCGTCCATTTCAAAACAAGTAATACTTCCAAGAAATGCAGATTCAAACAAGGATGACCTCAGGTTTGGAATATTCCATGTCTATGGATATCAAGCCCTTGGTCATAGTGTCTTTACTCATATTTTAATTCCCATCTCCTTTAAAGAATGGTCAAGGTAGAAAGAGAACGTTTGGGGGTTGGGGGATATAGCTCAGTGGTAGAGTGCTTGCCTAGCAAGCACAAGGCCCTGGGTTTGGTCCTTAGCTCCAAAAAAAGGAAGAGAACGTTTGTGTCTGTGGTGTGTTCTCTGAGCTGGCAGCTGTGCTTAGTCTTGGCTGTGGGGTTCTCGTCCACAGGCCTCACTTCTTGCACTGCCTTTGTGGTGGTGGACCCAGCAACACGTTCTGTTTCCAGAAGTGTGGATTGGCCAGAGCTGTGTTCCTAGAACGAGCTGGTCTGTTTAAACTAATCTTTGCAAATGCTGGAGCACAGATGATCTCTGCCTAGTGTTTGATTTCTGGGTTGCCTCCTGTACTCTCTCCTGGGATAATAGCAACCCAAATTTCCCTTGGAATAAGAGGAAAATATTTTCATGGCAGGTTTTTTCTATTAACTATGTAAATATCCCCTTTGGGAAATGTAGGAACGTTATTATAATTACCCAGGTGATTCTTTTATTTTCTCAAAGCCAAAAGAGGTGATATTTGAGGGAACTAATTGTAACCCATTCTGAGATGCTTGCTTTTCAGGCTCATTCTTGTAAAGAAATCAACACTATACTTGAAAAGCCTTCCAAGGAGAAAAGTAAAAAGCATTGCTAATTAAAATGTAGTCTTGTGAACAAACTTACTACAGTAATATGTCAGAAAGCAATCAGAGAAAATAAGCAAGCTGAATTTCATTTGGCAGCTTGTTTTGCTCAGCAACTGTTCTTTAACTTAACCCTCTTAGCTAATCCCTAATCCATGCTAATCCCTGCATAAGAGCCTCAGGTTAGTGCATTTAAATCAACGGTTCTCAACCTTCCTAATGCTACAACCCTGTAGTACAGTTCCTCATGTTGTGATGAAATTATTTTCATAAATAATTTATAAAATTACTTTTGTTGCTACCTCACAACTATAATTTTGCTACTGTTAGGAACTGTGATGTAAATATCTGATGGGCAGGATGGTCTTAGGTGACCTCTGTGAAAGGGCTGTTAGATGAGTAGGGGTCCCAACCCACAGGTTGAGAACCACTGATTTAACCGAGGGTAACATGGAGAAAGTGGTGTCTTAGTGAGGAAGGCTCTGACACAGGCCCCTTCTGAAAGCTGAGCTGCAGTTCTTGTGTGTTCTTGCTGGACACAAATGAACACGCACAGTCTTCCCTTCCATTCCAGGACTCAGCCTGCCTCCTGAGCTATTATAGGATTAGGCAGCACCTCCATTGTTAGTTACCCTAAAAAGGGTGTGCCCCATCCCTTAAATTTTATGCAGTTTTCTTTTGGGGTAAAAAGATTAATCCGAATGTACATAATAAAACCTGAGAGGACAGTGACATGCCTCATGAATGGTGTTGCTTCTGAAATGTGTGATAATTAAAGAATGAACTGCAGGTTTTTTAAAGTCTGTGAAGTACAGGATAGCATGAGGCTTTGACGACCATGACCTAATTATTTCAAGTGTGTTCTTTGATGGGAATACTTTAGCAATAATAGTATCTAGAAACATTCAGAATTACTGCAATTATGAATATTATTTTAAAATAATGGCTCAGTTGGCAAAGCCTCTTGCCTCCAAGGCCAAGCCTGATGGCCGGAGTTTGATTCTCAGAACTCACGTGGTAGAAGAAGAGAACCAACTGCCAAGAGTTATCCTCTGACCTCCACATGTGTGCTGGGGAATGCATGAACACACACACACACACACACACACACACACACACAAACACATACACATACACACACACACACACACACACA